CCAGGGTCCCTGTCCCTGCGGCCTGCTGCCGCAGAGGTGACGGGCGCGTGCTCTCTGGACCCCGGTAGCGTTTTGTGAGCCTCTCGTCATTGGGCTTTGACTGTAACTGTCAGTCTTGTTCTGTCCAGGGGGGTATAGGCTCCCAGTAAGACGCTGGTGAGACCCTTACGTCCTGTCTTAGCATTTGTGCTACACCGAATGTGTGTCCTCCCGTGAGGTGCCATCCTGAACGGCAGGGACACCAGCAGAAACAAGGTCGAGCAGGCTGAAGCACCGTCTCCGTGATTGGTGAGCACCTGCCAGACCTCAGGTGTGCTTTCAAGGGAGAAACGCTGCACTTGTGTCAGTGGCACAGCAGGCGTCTGCTGGAGGAGTCCCTCCTCAAAGGTGCATCTGATGTGATGTTTCAGAAACGTAAATGGGACGCTTGTGCCATACAGCCTTTTAAAAAGAGTATTTTCTTCTTTGCATCCTTAATCTTATTTAAATCTTACTTAATTTTATTGAAAACTAAATTTAAATCTTAACCTTATTTAAATCTGATTCAGGATTGTATTCTCGCTTCTCACATTTTAAAATGGGTTGGGTTTCCCAGTTAATGTCTGCCTTTTGCATGTTTCTGGGCCCCTGTCCTGGGTAAGCTTCTATGCCGGGTGTTGGTTAAATGACAGAAACATTCCTCTGACACTGTAAACAGCTTACTTTCCTCCACTTGGAAAAAAAATAAAGTTGATATTCCAGGGAATGTAGAATAAAGTTTCCATAAGAGAACCAAGTAATCAACTTCACTTTCTCTAACTGTGTCCTGTACCATCGTTAGCTGTGGCCGTGGGGTTTAATGTTGTAAGTGCTGGCTCACTGGCTCGATAAACGCCTGGGGGAGGTGTCCTGTGTGGTCTGCTGGATGTTTCTGAAATTCCTGGAATAATATGGCTCAAAATTTGGTTGATTTGAGTATTTATCCCCACCCCCCCAACTTGCATATTTCTTTCAAAATAGCCAGGGTGATGTGGTGAGAATCTTCAACTTACTACCTGGTTAAAATTTCAGGGATTAAAGTACCCACAATGCAGATTCGGAAACTGAAGCTTAATAAGTTGCAAGAAAGGCTACTGTCTCCTTTCCTCTGTGATGCTTTAGGCGTGAAGAAGACTGGGCTCGGTACACAGAGGTAGAGAAAATTGGTAAAAGTTGCCCTTCGCTGTTTTATCTAGAAAATACATTTTTTAACGTACTGGAATTAACCCTTGGAATTTAATATTAATAATTACGTAGTGCTGTGTAGTCAGTTCTGGCTTCAGTTCTGTCATCGTGTTTACCCGTGTGCATGTTTTTCTTTCTTCTTTAATGGTGACAGGTTCTCGCAAAGAGTCAGCACCACAGGTTCTGCTTCCCGAGGAAGAGAAGATCATAGTGGAGGAGACGAGGAGTAACGGGCAGACGGTGATAGAAGAAAAGTAAGATGCGGCCGGTGTTGGGCGCGGCCAGGGGCGGCCTGGGCTGAGGGCGGGGCAGCCGCGCGTGCCCGGCCCTGCCTCCTTCAGGAGCCTTCTGTTCCGTTTCAGGAGCCTCGTTGACACTGTGTACGCGCTGAAGGACGAGGTCCAGGAGTTAAGGCAGGTGAGTGGGCCCTCATTTGGTTTTAATCTTTTTTTTTTAGCGGGGGACAAAAGAAAAACAGTGTGTTAGACACAGAAGCCAGGTGTCGGCACAGTGACGCGGAAAGGAGCGCCTCTGTCAGAACTCGGGTCCCAGCAGCAGGTCAGAATGGTTGGTCTTCTGTACACGTGACACACCAGAAACTGAGTCTCCAGAGTGACTCGTTTAAACCTTCTTTTTGCTGCACTGTTTTTGACGTCATAAACCACCTCAAATTTGCCTGGAAGAATCACGCAGGAGACCTGAAGCTCCATCTGGGTAGAATTTCTGTCGGGGGCCCCCCAGACCATCCTCTGCCGCTTCCTGGTGTGGCGCGTGGTCCCTGTTCCGGGGGAAGCCGTGGGAACCGGCCAGGCGCACACTGTGTGTCTGTGCGGGGTCTGTGTGTCCGAGGAGGGGCGGCCGGAGCACAGCATGGCCTGGGCTGGACAGGCCGGGGGGGTCCCCACGCGCAGCGCTGCCCTCGGCCACCCGCCGACGACTCCCTCTCGCCGTCGGGGCCTCTGTGCTTCACTCAGCAGGGGGCACGTCTGTGAGCCGGGGGCGCTGCGTGCGGCCTTGGGGGCGCAGATGTGCGTCCGATAACCCGGCCCCTGCCCCCTTGTGTAACCCTGCATATAAGACCACCATGGCCTTGGAAGGAGCAGGCAGGACGCGGGGGTGCCTTTGTCGTGTTCGGCTGTTCTCTGAGGCTTTGTCAGCGAGTGGAGATGTCGGGCCTGTGCACCTGGGAGCCGCTGCACGTCCGCTGGGCGTCTGGGGGTCCTGGTCAGCGCACCCCTGGCTGCAGCGCACAGTGGCCCCTAGTCTCCTGGGGAGGGGGTGTCCTTGTTGGTGCCAGAGGTGGCTCATGCCCTGTGCTCTGCTCGCTTACAGGACAACAAGAAGATGAAGAAGTCTCTGGAGGAGGAGCAGCGAGCCCGCAAGGACCTGGAGAAGCTGGTGCGGAAAGTTCTCAAGAACATGAACGACCCTGCTTGGGATGAGACCAACCTCTGAGGGGCGTCCTCGCCTCTTTCCTGAAGACCAGTCACGGCCGGCCAGAGCCCCGGGACCCCGTGGTGCGACATTTGGGGCCGCAGGGCGGGGCTGGACCAACGCCCACCTGCGTTCTGTGCGAGGAAAGCCGGAGTCCGACTCGTGCAGAGCACGGCCACGCCGTTCTGAAGCATCGTGAGGTAGAGACACTGAGGGCCGGACGGTGAGACTCCTGCTCTGCTGACGCCTCCGTACCTCGTTTTGCAATAAGCACGGCGACGGACTGCAAGCCTGGTCTGTCAGGCCTCGTGGAATATACATAAATGTCACGCACGCGTTTCCTGTAAATGCTCTCTTCTGAATGCATATCCGTGGTGGTTGAATCTGGGCCTTTGCTGGTGCCAGAATCTCCTTCCACCAGGCTCAGTGGTCCCGCGCACGGGGGGGTTGAGCTCAGGCACCCGGGAGTCCGGCGTGTCTCCCTGCGGGGGCGCAGGTGATTCGGGGAGACGCCTGGTTGTCCAGCCCCGCGTGTCCGTGGGGCTCTGAGACACTTACCACGCCAGCCTGGCCGGGCAGTTCACCTCGTTGGTACCTGCACGATGCCGTCATCCCACATGAAAGTCCCCAGGGAAGGCAGTGTCGCAGGCGGCGGTGCGCAGGGCTCTGGGCCTCAGCCCCGGACCGGAGGAGCCATGCCCGCCGCCAGGTGCTCAGCGGCAGGTGCGCCCGCCCCTGACATGGTGAGCTTCGGAGCGCGTCCCCCGCTGGGGATCAGAGGACCTGACGTGTGGGGTGGTCTGACGCTTGACAGGGCCCACAGCTTTGCCCTCCCCCGAGAGGGCGAGCTTCACTGGAGCCTGTAAATAACATGTGCTATTTATCCACATCGCTGGGGCCTGAGGACCCGAGGCAGGCTGGGCGCTGTTCCTCTGAGGCCTGCTCCGCCCTCAGGCGCCTGCGGCTGCAGGGAGGTACTTTCGCTCTGGCAGGAACAAAGCAATAAACGTCTCAGATTCCCCTCGGTGAGGGAAGTTGAAACGCAGGCCCCTCCCTCCCAGCCCCGCCGCCACGTCCAGATGGCAGAGGAGATGGGGGAGACCCCTCTGGGCTGGGGCTCCAGGACCCTCCGTGTCCAGTCAGGAAACCGTCAGAGGCGGGACAACGGTGTTGGGCCCCGTGCTCTCCCCTTGCTCTGCTGAAGAGGTCATTTTTAAAGTGAGATAAACTTAAAGAGGACAAATGTCGTATCTTAAAAAAAAACCCGAATCACAGCACTGTGCACTAGAGACGGCTCAAATACCCATTTGGCATCAGGTGTGACTTGGCGATTTGTCATCTGGGGTTCAAGTGACCCTTCATGGGGTCGTCTGGTGTCCAGGGACCAGGCAGCTTGGGGCAGCTGGTCGTCTGGGTGCCCATGGTCCCCGCGGCCCCCGCGGCCCCCGCCGCGCTCTCAGCTCCCTGCACAGTGGTCACCTGCCCAGCAGGTGTGTCTGGGCAGCGGCATTGACCTGCCCACACACGACCCCGCGACTAGAATCGCCAGCTTCCTGAACTTGGCGTTCTGTTCATTAGTGCTCGGACTAGAGAAGGCCGTCTTCCGGCTTTTTGTAAGCCCCACTTTCACCGTGGTTTTTTCGGTGATGCGCAGACATCGCAGTGGGAAGCAGTGCGCTCGAGCATGCTGCCGTTCACCTTCTCAAGCAGATTTTAACTCAGGAACAGCATTCACCACCTGATCTCTCCACCACCTGTGACTGGCAGCGTCGCCACCAGCGTCCCGGGGTGGGGCTCGCACAGAACCTGCCTTAACTGTTGATCTGGCGTCGGGGGGACACTTGTGTTTGCCCCCCTCCTCTGAAGGGGTGACCGGGGGTGCTCGGGTGATGCGTTACCTTTTCTTCCCGTGGAGCCAAGACCTTAGGAGGCTTTTTAGGGAGCAGAGAAGACACATCTGAGTCTGAGCAGTTCTTTCTAAAAGCCTGCCCTGTTGTAAATAGACTGCATCCACTTCGTGTGATGTCCCGCGGGGCTGGGGGCTGGTGGGGACGTTAGGAAGCGGCTGTCTGCCTCCGTGGGTCACCTCTGCTCCCAGTTTCGTGGACAAGGAGGCAAGCAGTTTCCTCACCCAAGACACGATGCACGCCAGGGTGGGGGCATCCGGGATGTGTGGACCCACCCCTTCCTCGTGTCCATGGGACGTACGGAGTCCCTGTTTACAGCTGCCAGGACCCTCCAGGAAGTGCCCCATCCAGTGCCCTGGCGCTGACGGCTCACACTACATTGTTGTAATTATTAAACTGACTATTTTTCTTATGTTACAAACGTCATTTATTGTCCGTGATGTGTGTGTGTTACCTTTACACTTTTGATGTTTTAATATTTTTAAATTCTAGTGTGAATTTTTGACACTGGGAGATAGCACATTTGCCTTTACGGTCTATGGTTTGGGGATATTTGAAGATAAGCTTAGGAAGCAGAGTCCTGGGGAAGGAAACGGAAGGAAGGGCTGACGGGTGTGGCCTCTGCTCCCCCTGCCGCCGGGGGGGGCCTCCCCCCACCCCGAAGCTCCTGGCAGCTGCGCCGCGGGCTGGACGGGTGAGCGCGTCGCCTGGTTCCGCGGGTGCTCCCAGCAGTGCCGTGTGGCAGGAGGAAGGTGCGTGTCTGAGGAGCCTTGTCCTCCCCGCACTCCGTCCACTGAGGAGGCCGGGCCAGTGTTCCCGGAGGCCAGGGGAG